TGGTGCTGGTGGGTTGATTTAACACACTCATTAAGGTTCAACCTGCATGCTGGTGCTGGTGGGTTGATTTAACACACTCATTAAGGTTCAACCTGCATGCTGGTGCTGGTGGGTTGATTTAACACACTCATTAAGGTTCAACCTGCATGCTGGTGCTGGTGGGTTGATTTAACACACTCATTAAGGTTCAACCTGCATGCTGGTGCTGGTGGGTTAATTTAACACACTCATTAAGGTTCAGCCTGCATGTTGGTGCTGGTGGGTTCAATTCAACACACTCGCTTACGCTCTAGCTGCATCTTAGTGCCGGTGGGTTGATTCAACCCACTCATTGCCTACTAGCCCTCTCAAGTCCTCTTCGCCACACCCACTTTATTCCTGACCGGGTGGGCTGGTGGGGAAGTGGGTGATGGTACCACAATATATAATTCAATAAATAAAAACAATAACAATTGTCAGTCAAGCAATTGTTGTGCTGTCAATTAAATAATTGGTAAGTTTTTATGTAGAGTTAATAGAACTTTATTGAAATTGCGAATTATGAGAAATTACTGAGCTGCTAGGTAATAAGGTAAATTATTGGGTTAAACCTAATAAATTATTTAATTGAACCTCATAATCAGCTTAGCTTGATTGCTATTAATATAATTACTGCGATCTTGTCACACCGTTTTATAAAGTTTTAATAATAAATGTTTGTGTTTAATTGACAATAATCTTACTATATTTATAATTGATCAATTTATAGTTATATAACTAAGAAATACTTCATCACACTTCGTTTTACAGTACTTAGGGCTGGTGGTGGGCTTAGTGGTGGGTGAGGTGGGCGTGGGTGGGCTGGCGGTGGTGTACCAGGGCCGCGTGGTGAGTGGGCTTGTGGCTGTGATGAGTGGGCGACTCACAGCCCACTACGGTCACCCCACTCAACTGCCCTTCACGAACGCCCTCGACTACGTGCAGTACCAGGTGGGTCAGGTGGGTCAGGTGGGTCAGGTGGGTCAGGTGGGTCAGGTGGGTCAGGTGGGTCAGGTGGGTCTGGTGGGTCTGGTGGGTCTGGTGGGTCTGGTGGGTCTGGTGGGTCTGGTGGGNTCTGTAGTCTACTTCCTTATTCATATTCGTTAAAAAAAGAACATTTCTACATCATTCCGTGAAATTTAAATCGAGTTCAAGATTTCTGTACAGTTTTTGGTAAGGTTATGAGGCAGAAGATTGCATGAGGCGAGGGTCTCTCAAAAGCGAGCTTCCAAAGGCGGTAGTCGAGCTGAATGGATTGATTGAGGGAAAGGAACCTGACTTGTAGTGGACCTGTCTCTTATACACATCTGGTATAGTACGATTAGGTGGGTGAACTTTGACCCACCTAATTTTGGTTAGTTACGTGCGCTAGGATCGAATATGTTAGGTGTATTCCTTGTAGGCCTGGTGGGCAAGGTGGGCAAGGTGTATAAAGGTATTGGTAAGATATTAAATAAAATTTTAATAATAAATACAATTAAAAGAAAAAATATAAATCAAATTTTGTGTTATGATAAATTAGCTCACCTACCCATTTAAATGTAATTATGGAGTGTGTCAAGCTAACTCACTGCCCCACTCAGCTGCAGTGCTGTGGTGTGATAAAATAGCCCACCCACTCACTTAAATGTAATTATAGAGTGGGTAAAGCTAACCCACTGCCCCACTCAGCTGCAGTGATGTGGTGTGATAAAATAGCCCACTTACTCACTTAAATGTAATCATGGAGTGGGTAAAGCTAACACACCGCCCCACTTAGTTGCAGTGCTGTGGTGTGCACAACCACACCGACTGGAAAAGTTCCCGTTGGTACCGAGAGGGCTTGGGTGGGTTCCACAGAGCGGAGAGCAGGCGGGTTGTCCCACTCACTTGCTGCACACTGCAACACAGCCCACTCGCCCACCTCAACCCACTACCGGTCAATGAAACTCTCTGCCAGAGCCCGCTTCCTGAACTGCACACCGGTGTTCGCCACACCGTGGTGAGTGTGCTACGGAATGATTGTTATATGAAATCTGACCCACCAGACCCACCTGAAGAAAAGATAGATAGTTGAATGTCATTCAAAGGAATATTCAAAACGAGTGGGATTAAGGAAGGAGTGGCCTTCTTCATGAAGTGTATTTATTCAAGGAGTGGGTATATTCGAGGAGTGGGTATATTCGGAGAGTGGGTATATTCGAGGAGTGGGTATATTCGAGGAGTGGGTATATTCGGGGAGTGGGTATATTCGAGGAGTGGGTATATTCGGGGAGTGGGTATTTACACTCCTCCCCAGGGGTGCATGGAACGGGTGCGGGCGTGGGTGAGGGGTGAGAGCGCCCTGCTGGTGGCGGCGGGAGTGGGGCTGGGGGCGCTGCAGCTGGCGGCGCTGGTGGCGGGCGTCGCGCTCTGTCGGGGGGCCCGCGCCCCCCACGGGTCCTGCAGCGGCGCCCCGTAGCGGCGCGCGTCTCGGCAGCGTCGTCCTAAGGGTGGGACTAACTATAACCTATTTCAAGTTATAAATGAATTTTTCTGCTTGAATGTGTTAAGTAGGTTTTATAAATGATTAATCCATATAGACGATGGTCTACGGCAAAATTTAATAGTTTCATTTTTGGCGCATTTTCTCATACATGAAAAAATGCACTATTGTGCTCGCCATGTCCGTCCGTCCGTCCGTCTGTCTGTCCGCCTGTCTGTCCGTCCGTGACTTCACGTTTTCGTCGATGAGAAAATGCGCTTTGTCACTCACTGCAGTGAGTACTGAGTTATATTTTTTACTTATAGGTTACTAACATCGTTTATCAACGCAATGATGAATTTCGTTTTTTTTCGAGTGCCTAAAAATAATATATGATGAACTCAATACAATCAGTATTTTTAAAAGTTTTCAAATATAAGAGGGACATTGATGAAAAGCCCAATTCCACTATACCTTTTCAGCTGCAAGTGCAGATGCAGACAAGGGCGTTCAGAAGAGTGGCGTCGTCAACGCTGCGTTCAACCAAGATGGCAACCTCAGCCCGCACTGTCTTGAGGAAGCAGCAAACGCAAAAATGTCGCCCACACAATCAGCCTACGATGTGCCGAGACAATATAAAAATAAAGTACCCAGTCCCGAACCTGGTTCACGTTACCAGGCATGTGAACCCGTTTTGGATATGCGAGCGCCCGAGATACCGAGTATTGACTACTATGATCTTCAGCCTCATATCTACGCCCCGAGAATTGATAACGATTTAAGGCGTAGTGACCGCAGTCGAGGTTCACAACACTATCATGTTTCCACACTAAATTTTGACAAGAATGAGGAGCTTGTGGGAAAAAGACATGATAAGGTATTCAATGTCAACTCTAATCCTTCATACGCTTCAGTTGAAAATACAACCATCCATGCGCCGACCCCTTCCAGAAGACAAATTTGTGACACACATTCTTACGGAAAACCTAGAAAGTCATGCAGAACTCCACATGACGAAGGAAATACGAGCAGTCAACGTTTTCAAAACAGCAAAACTTTACAGTCGTACAGAAGCCACCACTCGCTACCTCACGCCAGCGGGGCTGATTATTTCAGTTCCGCGCGTACGGCGTCGATATCTAGAAGTCGGAAGAAGAAAGCCCCACCCAAGCACATTTGGAGGGAAGTTTTACCCCCTGTCGTACCGGCGGGAGAAAAAAACACCAACGCTGCTCATCTGCATCATCAGCAGCGAGATGCTGGTGTTTACAATGCAAACAAAAGCGTCGCTACTCAAACCAGCACAGGCAAGAAAAGCAAGAAGAAAGATTCTGTTATAGGGCCTCTGAATTCTAGGAATACTAACGACCGAATATCTAGAACGGCTCTTTTCAAAGACGAATCGCCGCAAAATAAAGGAAATCTTTGCTGCTGGTCGACGCAGAGTGAATTGTCCAGCCAGAAGGACTACGAACGCAATATCCGCACCTCAACTCTGAACAATTCTGGACAGAAGCTCATCCCTGAAAATCCCTACGCTCAGCTGAATGACCTGACGCAGAGACAGAGCTCTGAGAATGGAGAGCAAACTATAGGCGATATGCTCGAACTCTCGGAGCGAGAAAAAGCTTTGGATGAATGGGTTCCGCCTTCATGTTTGATCAGCGATCGGCTTGGTCTGATTGAACGAAGCCGAAGCCCGGAAACACTGCAAACTCTCGCCCAGACAAACGAGATGTCGAAGGCCGAGTCGGATTCCTGCTCCGGGGTGGATGAGGTGGATCACGCAATGGATTACAAGCCCGATCTGAAACCAGACATTGTGTACGAAAGCGAGGAATTGGATGCCGGCAGCGACTTCCGCTTCATCCAGATCAATAACAGCTTTGACGGCCCGTTTGAGCAAAGCGAGCACAAGGAATGCATTGACGAAATGAGGTATTTGACTTACGGTTCAGATGTCGGCGGCAGCGATGAATATCAAACAAGGTACGAGCGACTGCAGCAAGAAGCTGCAGCTGCTCAAGAGCCGTGGCTCAGTAGCAACTGCGCTGGAGTTCGCAAAGGTAAATTGAATTCCTCGGGACTCGCCGGTATGCACGACGCAATGATCGCTAACGCAGCAAAAATTGACCGTCCGGAGCTAAGAATGGCCAGGAAAATTAGGCTTTCTGGCTCCCAATTGCCGGCGGCGGACGCAAAAAGCGACGAAGCTCGCGACGCCGGCGGCGCCTCCATGGCAGCGAATGTGGGACGAGCAAGAGAAACACACAGAACAGCAGTTCAAAATTTGGGAAAAAATCCAATTACGAGCGGAGAGAGGCTGAGCAATTTGGCTGAAGGGAGCCTAGCTACACAAGAAAAATTGCACCCTAACTTCATTAAAAATGATATCCGGAAAATGATTGAGCATTTTGAACTCCAGCTAGGCACGCCACGCAAGTCCCAGGCAAGTCCTGGGCCAAGAGGCAACACGACTGCAGCAGTGCCCACCGGGAGAAGATATGTCAAGAATACGAAAAATAACAATTCTGGACGTAAAGTACGATCTTCAGACAAAAATATTCATGACACATCTTATTCGTCTCAACCAGCACGAACGAATTCACGACTTTACGACATGACAGAAGCTCGCATCAGGGCCGTAATGTCGAGATCCTACGAAGATTTGGGGAAGTTTGACGAGGAATTTAGGTGGTCAAGGGTTGACGATAATGAAAACGAGTCCGTGACTCACTATACCCGATTTAAATCACCCGAAGGCCAGCACAGCGCTGCATTCAGTGCTTTATCTAAAAGAGCTTCAAGCGATTCAGACTTGGTATTGAGATCGGGGACGACACCTCGACATACCAACAATGACAGAGATGCCATGGAAGCAGACAAAAGACACCGACAACGAGTTGCTAATGGGGGGAAAATGACACGAGTTGCCGGCACCAAAAGTTCCGGCAGAAACAAAAGCTTAACTTTGCCGATCAATGAAGAGGGTTTTGGCCGAGACAAAAAGTTCGGCGAGGGCGAATTCGGGCGCCAAACGTGGTCGAAATTGGCGACGAGCTTCGGTGGTGAAGAAAGAACAACAGAAAGGAAATTCACGGACGAAACGGAGATGAATTTCACGGCCAACAGAACATCCCGCAACGCAGAGTTTGCTGCCAAAAATCATCTATCAGAGCAGGTTTTCCCCGCTCTAGGGAGGTACAAAGAAAGTTTAGATGCTCGCACTTACTTCAAAAAATATGACGACCATCTTAATGCAGCCCCTGATGGGACAAGGCCTCAGATTACGATACTATAAATCATCTTTCATTTACAAGCTGCAGTTTGCACTTACCCCTTTCCTATTCCTTATTTATTTAAGAACTTAGTCTGCTTAAATCGAATGTTCATTAACAATATAAAAGCCAAGAAAACACGAGGATATGATTAATTTAATTAACATTTTCCGAGTTCTCACAATTTTTAATTAGTGATATCTACAGTGATATCCCGTATAGCTTCGAACTCAGTTGTAAATAGCGTTTCATAATTATAAGCTTTTACTCAATAGGTTTCATAATGCGTAATTTACCGTCGATGAGCTACAGTGGAATTTTCGTGAGTTCAGAGGCTAGCCGACTAATGGAAAATTTAAATTTTACTTATTTTATCATGGAGACGAGTAAACTATGCACTTTTCTTCTGCTTGTATTGTTTCATTTTAGTTTGAAGAAAAGAAAATTGTATTAGGAAGTTACGCAATACGTGTCAGCTTTGAAAGTATCTGCGAACCCAACGATGAGTGATGAGGGCATGGGGGAAGTGATGAGTGATGAGGGCATGGGTCAAATTATGAGTGATGAGGGCATGGGGGAAGTGATTAGTATCTGCGAACCCAACGATGAGTGATGAGGGCGTGGGTCAAATTATGAGTGATGAGGGCATGGGGGAAATGATGAGTGATGAGGGCATGGGCCAAATGATGAGTGATGAGGGCATGGGGGAAATTATGAGTGATGAGGGCATAGGCCTTAGAAGTATACATGGGTTGATTCATGTATACTTCGGCAGTGTGTGGCGAGCATTCATGTATATTTCGTCAGTGTATTTCCTTGAACAATGAAAAAAAAACGAACGTTTTGCGCTCACTAGAACGTATCCTTTTTGGGAAGTAGCCTTGTGACAATATTGCTCCGGCTAACCATGTCAGGGGTTAATATGGTTAAAAAGCAAGAGGGCAGGATCAAAGTAAGTGGAGATTAAGACACGGCGCGTGAAATCATGGTCTGATAAGTTCAATGCCACTGAAGATCTAAGCAAGGGAAGTTCATGGCCATTGAAGATAAAGCCAAATGAAAATATAAAAAAGTACTGACAAGGAAGATCAAGAAAACATCAAGGACTCTGATGACCAAGTCCGGGATGGTCAAGGACGCTGTAGATATAAGCAGCTGATGATCAAGGCTGCGGATGATAAGGCCACGGAAGATAAAGGCCGTGGTGCCGCAGAACGTTGATGCAGGTATGCCGTCATCGTCCAGGTTAATATTCATGATGACTTCCAACACAAAGATTGCTTCAACGTCGGGATTGACGATCTGTCAAGATTGTGGTTTCCCAATTCTTCTTTTATTATGCATAATTTACAATAAATGTTGTATTTGTGTTCATTATTAGGGTTTATTATTTAGGGTTATTAGCTATTATTCTATTAGCTATATTATTGTTCATTATTAGGGTTATTAGCTGTTTCGAGGATTCCTTAAACACCAATTCATTTTTATAGAATTTAAGGATTAATCTTGGTAGGATAATCAAAACTTAAGGATAAATCTTGGTAGTTTTGACTTATAAACCTGACATGGCGACGATATCTTCAAAGACAGCAATACCTCAACGACTCTTAAGTTCTTAAGAACTGCACAGGTAAAGGCCGTGTTATAACTTCACGTAAATTTCCCCTCACGAGATTATCATTGGAAACAAAGATCATTTTCTAGCCTTTATCACACGTTCATAAACTTTGATAAGCAAGTACTTATTTATGTTACAAGTTCTTTGTTCTTATGTTATAAGTTCTTAGTTCTCGTGAAAGTTAGGTGAGAGCAACTAAAAAGTTTAGGGCCGTGACCGGCGCTCTCAGCGGGACGGGATAACGGCATCTCATCAGGCCGCGGCTCGACGCCATCAGCTAATGAAATAAGTTGAGCAGCGCTGCAAATGGCGCGTCTTTCCCTGGAAAGTGTGGCTATAATTCTTGACGCGTGGGTAACACTTGAGGTTATGGATTCTTGATCAGCCTTTGTATGTCTGGTCTATATAAACTCTGAAGATATAAGCCGAATTTGTCCTATGAATTATGGAAGGCATTAGAAGATTTGGTTTTAAGGTGCTTGGATCGGCTTTTGCATCGCCTGGTGAATTCGCACAATACAACACAACACAAAAACAACACAACACAACAAAACAACACAACACACAAGTACACACACGACACAACACAAACACAACACAAACACAACACAATAACACAAATGGTGGGTACTGTGTACTTTCGAAGACTTTAATCCCTTGTAGAAGGAATGAAGGAAAGCGAAGTCACACATGTCTCAGCTTTCCACGACATCGTGCATCCTTTGTCCCTCATTTAGTGATGTAAAAGATATTGTCAGCGTTCAGCCGGTAAAGCTCCAGCTGACCGCTGATCGTTCATCGGCCAGCAGAAAATTGCAGTTTCCTCGTAGCCAGCGACTACATGTATATGGTTGATGTGTCTACGAGATAAAAGGATAGAAAGGGTAGACAACTAGGATAGATTGAGGCTAGAACGTGGGATTTTTAAGGGTAGTTAATGAGAGTTTGTCGAGGGCAGTTAATGAGGGCAGATCAAGGTAGAAAGCGAGGGAAGATACGGGAAAATAAGGAGTAAAGTGATTGTAACTGACGCTAGGTCGTGACGTATGACGATGAAAGTACCGTTTTCGTTTCGTTCAACCATTTTTCCCGATGTCACCTAATAATTTTCGTTCT